CGGAGGTGACCAAGCGCATCCTGGTGACGGGTGGCACCGGTTTGGTGGGAAAAGCCATCGAGAAGGTGGTGGCTGATGGAGAGGGGCGGCCGGACGAGGAGGGGATCTTTGTGTCCTCCAGAGACGCCGACTTGACGTGAGTTGACCGCGTGAGTTTTCTCTGTGACCCACCCTACGCCCCCACCGGTCTGCTCCTTCGGCACCGCTGAACCCCAAAATTTCTCATCCAAGGAGCGCCGCAGAGACCAAAGCCCTGTTTGAGCGGCACAAGCCCACCCACGTCATCCACCTGGCTGCCATGGTCGGGGGCCTCTTCAAAAAAATCCGCTATAACTTGGATTTTTGGGTGAGCACCCGGCAAATGGGCAATATTGGGGTCCCTGAGGATGCTGCAACCCCCTGCCCTCCCTGAGCCAGGCTGTGCCTTGCTCTGCTCCTGGGGCCAACTCAAAGCTCCTCTGGTTTCTGGAGTTATTAATGGGTTATAACCCATAGGGTGTGATGGTTTTTGTCCCCACGTGACAAATCTCTCCTCGCCCAGAGGAGAAACATCCACATCAACGACAACGTCCTGCACTCGGCGTACGAGACGGGGGTGCAGAAGGTGGTCTCCTGCCTCTCCACCTGCATCTTCCCGGACAAGACGACGTACCCCATCGACGAGAGCATGGTGAGCATCTCCATCCCTACGTCCAGCCCAGAAGTCCCTACCCAACTCCCTGCTCTCTCATCCCCAGATTCACAACGGGCCACCGCACAGCTCCAACTTCGGCTACTCCTACGCCAAGAGGATGATCGACGTGCAGAATAGGTGTGTGTTGGGGGGATACAGGAGAGCCCTTGCAGCCTTCCAGCACCCTCTGGTTATCAGGGCAAGGGGAATTAATTCCAGGAATTAAACTGGGAGATCACTGGGCTCAGCAGATGGAGATGCTGCCAGCCAGGGTCTTCTGGGGACAGCTCTGTGCCAGAGGGGTGGGTGACTGGAGCCAGCGCGTGACTGGAGCTGGTGAACAACCCACCCGCACCCCTCCTGCTCTCACCCAGGGGCTACTTCGAGCAGCACGGCTGCCGCTTCAACGCCGTCATCCCCCCCCACGTCTTCCGGGCCGCACGACAACTTCAACATCGAGGACGGCCACGTCTTGCCGGGGCTCATCCACAAGGTCTACCTGGCCAAACGTGAGTGTGGCAGGACTTCTTAGGGCTTTTTGGGGTTTCTTTTTGAAAAGCTAGTGGGTTTTTTTCCCCTCCTTGCCTGCTTCACGAGCTTCTCTGCAGGGTAGCCGGGGTGGGTGGAGATGACCCTGATCCTCATAGATGCTCTGATGGTTGTGGACACTCTCCTTCCTCCTCCAGAGACCGGCTCTGCTCTGACCATCTGGGGCACGGGCAAGCCCAGGAGACAGTTCATCTACTCCCTGGTAGGCTTGGCCTTGGTGGGGGGCAGGCTATGGGGCTGGGGGAAGCCAGTACCTGGACCCCAGCAGAGTCTAAACCCAACTGGCTCGTCCTGGGCAGTGTTGGCCATCCTCAGGGTTGGGTCCCCTTGCGACGTGAGGGCTGGGGGATAGCAGCCACCCCCTCAAGAGCCGTCTGTCCCTCTGCAGGACCTGGCCCGGCTTTTCCTTTGGGTCCTGCGGGAATACGATGAGGTAGAGCCCATCATTTTGTCAGGTAAGCCCTGTCTGCCCCCCCTACAACCACGAGGGGCTCCAGCCCCTTTCCAAGAAAGCGGAGGAAGGGTCATGATCGTGCCTTTCTCCACAGTGGGAGAAGAAGACGAAGTCTCCATCAGGGAGGCAGCAGAGGCGATCGTGGAGGCCATGGACTTCAGGGGAGAGCTTGTTGTATCCTTCAGCGCAGAGCTGGGCACCCCTCATTTGCTCACGGGGCTGTTGTGACGGGGGGCACCCTGCTTTCCACCTCCAGGGGAGGTGCCCTGCTCCAGAGCATCCCTCCCACTGCCCCAGTCGGGCCACGGTGGGGCAGAGACCTGGGGTTTTTTTCCCTGCTTTGCGCTCCCCTTAACCCCTCCTGCCCCAGTTTGACACCACCAAGGCAGACGGGCAGTTCAAGAAGACGGCCAGCAACGCCAAGCTCCGGCGCTACCTGCCCGGCTTCCAGTTCACACCCTTCAGGCAAGGTGAGATGAGACACAAGGTCCTACCCACTGGATCAGAGTGATCCACCCTTTTAATAGTTAAAGGACTTCTTAGAAAGGTGGGAAGGGACTTTTTAGTAGGGCTTGGAGTGATGGGACGAGGGGTGATGGTTTTGAGCTCAAAGAGGGGAAAGCCAGACTACACCTAAAGAAGAAATTTTTTACAAGGAGGGTGGTGAAACACTGGAGAGGTGGTAGAAGTCCCGTCCCTGCAAACAATTCAGGGTCAGGTTGGCCTCTGAGCAACCTGATCTAGTTGAAGATGTCCCTGCTCCCCTCAAGGAACTTGGACGAAATGATCCTCAAAGGTCTCTTCCAACTCAAACCAACCAATCATTTTATGAACAAACCACATTCCCAATCCCCAAAAAAACCTCATCTTCCCTCCTCCCCAGCCGTGAAGGAGACCTGCACCTGGTTCAGCGCCAACTACACCAACGCCAGGAAGTGATGGGCTGCCACGGCACCGCCATCATCTTCTTCATCTCAGGGTTGTCCTTTGCGGGGGCAGAGGACGGGGCTGGGGGTGACGGTGACATTTCCAAAGTAAACAGGGGCCACAGCCCAGTGAGCAGCCTCCCCCCGCCACATTCCTGCCCGCTGCTGAGAGCGGCGTGGGATGCCCAGGGTAGGGGGGCACCCTAAAAATGCTGGGACCCCAGGCTAGGTGGTAGCAGCCAGCTGGAGCCACCAGTGCCACCTTGGCTGTGTCCAAGAGGCTGGTGGCTCTGGCAGAGCTGTAACGGGCTACACTACTAATTACTTGTGATTAGGTTGTAATAAAGGGGAAGGTGATCAGGGTTCCTTTGGCTCAGGCAGGTGTTTGTTGTTGCTTTTGGGGTGTGGGGTTGAGTCCTGAAAGCCCCCAGCAAAGCCCTCGCATCAAGACTGGGGCAGGTGGGACCAGACCAGGGAAGGCTCCAAGCTGTAAATACGGCTTTTATTAAAATAGATTTAAACAGTATAAAATTGGTGGGATGAGGAGCGTCTGCCCCGCGACACGGATCCATACCCATGTCGAACGGCACCCCGTAAGGTCCTGAGCACCACCAGGATCTGGAAAAGCTAAAACAAAAAGGGGTTTTAAAACTGCTCTGGGAAGGGGCAGAGGGTCAAACATGAGGGGACAAATCCATGGCCAAGCTGCTGCACGAGGCTCGACCGGTGGCATGGATGTGGCAGAAGTGCTGCCCAGGGATGGCTTTTTTCCGGCATCGCTGCCCGGCCCTGGTGAGCCCCTGGCACGGGGACCGCGAGGACAGCACGGACCTACGGAGGAGACGCCCATCAGCACCCCAGGAAGCCCCCACCGGGGCTGTCACCCCAGTGTCATATCATCAGCTGCACCCTGAGGTGACACCAGCCCCAAGGTGCCCCTGAAGAAGAGATGTCCTCTGTTGTCAGGACTTACGTGTCACTGGCTGGAGAGTGGCTTAGGCTGCAGGGTTTAGGTCCAGCGCCCCTGGATGGCTCCAGCGTTGCCTCGTTGGTGGGAGAAGAGGTTTAGACAGGATGTCCTCCCTCCCCGATAACCCTCCTGTCCTGCAGATGTCCCTTGTCCCCTGGGGACATGGGGATCACACATGATGACCTTGCAGGACACCCCCAGCCCACCCAAATTTTCTCCCTATGTGTCACACCCCCGGACCTAGCCCCCCTCCCAATGTGGCACCCACAGGACCCAAGCTGGCCCCCAGGAGCAGGTTGTGGCCCAACCCAAGGACATCCCACCCGGCACCTACCCCCAAAGCTCAGGCTTACCCCACACGAGCTCAGCTTTGTCCTCCAGCCACCAGGGACGGGTGACAATGGCCCTGCTAAGCCAGGGAGGCCCCCTGCC